GCCCTGGTGATGCTGAACCATCTGACAATCTCCTATTATTGTTTGCACTACTGTCACTGACTGTACATGGTTTTGAGTCACAGGTTATTGGCTGTACCATTTAGATTTATCCTAATTACATCAATCCAGTTCTTATTCTATTCTATTCTATTTTTATTCTATTTTAGTTCCTAAATGTTATGGCACCCAATACTAGGTAAGAGAGAAATGGTATTTTGATTTTCTGTATGTCCTGCACATATGGTGAATTGCCAATAAAATCCTCGAACCTTGAACTCTGGTACAGTGAGCATTGCAGTATGTCTCAAGAACCAGCAGCAGATCCAAGTGTCCGAGTGTTAGCAAGCCATTAGCCTGCTACTGTAGCTGACTGGAGAGTTCCTTGTTTCCGCCACAGATCCCAAATGAGGTCATAATAATCATTAATCATCAATTAATTAAATGAATATTATATAAATATATTTCACGAATATCTATTAAATCTAACTTAAATCAATTTATATCCATCACAGCACATCCATCAGGCTTCATGAGTCAAGAAAGAAGTCCAATTGATTTCCTTTCAGTGGTTTTTAATGGTGGGTTGGCAACGAATGGAGTCATTATATCCTTTGCTCAATGCAATATTCATGTGACCTTGGCGTATTTTTGACAATGCAGTCATGGCTGGTAATTCGTATTCATATTGAAGAAACCACAAACATAAGTTTTCACATCATATTTGTAATTTCTTGAAGTGGTAACTTTGAAAGGCATATTCTCACAGACAAAATAGACACACACATTTTATACATATATGATTTGACTGGTACAAAGGTTTACAAAAACACAATTTTGTGTACAAATTATTAATTTATGCACAACCACAGACAAATACGCACACATGTTTATTAGTACACAAACATGTCTTTACTGACAGCTGTCTTACCCCATACAATTTCCTCACACTTAATAAAAACTAGTAACAAGTCCATATTGTTGATAACCTAGTACGGTTAACTCATTTATGTAAGTTACAGTGTATGAAGAAATGATATTAAGATTGTTGAGTGGTGTTGGTTCATTAAAATGTCATTTTGGATTTAAGAAAGATTTGAAAGGTTGTGTTCTTTGCACTGATGGTACAGCTGTCTAGTAAAAGTTAAATGATACATTTAAAAGGGTACTTTGAAACTATTTTGAAAACAAAGTCACCGATATGCTCATAGTTTGTGCATTATTATGCATATCACATGCAAACAGAATATAGTGCATCACATCTGATTGGACAAAAGACGTTTTACATTCGTTATGGTAATTAAGAGGGGGGTGACTATTTCAGTATCACATACAAAATGTTGGCACAGTGAATACGTACACACACTAATGCATAAACTAACTTGAGGCATATGGCATGAAGCTTAGGTACAAATCTTCTGTGTTTTCCTTACCTTACTGCTTAAGAAAATTAATGTTGTTAGTGAACATGCTGAAGTAAATAGTAGTATATTTAAAATGCTTAGTGAATGTAAGTGATTATTAATGCAAAATGTAATTGCAGGAATCTAGAAATATGGAACCAGAGCTGACTGCCAATGGGACTTACACTGTTATACATCCCTGCTATGTATCATACAATGGAACTCACATAGTTATATTCAACCCTTCATTAATATGTATACTATTATATATTTTACTTGGTTCATTGTCCATTGTCACCGTATGTGGAAACCTCCTTGTAATAATCTCCATCATTTACTTCAAACAGCTCCACATCCCTACTAACTACCTTATTCTCTCTCTGGCTGTGGCTGATGTGCTTGTTGGGATTTTAGTCTTTCCTTGCAACATGGCCTTCACTGTAACTCAATGTTGGTATTATGAGGATTTATTTTGTAAAGTACGAGGCAGCTTTGATGTTACACTGAGCACAGCTTCTATTTTGAACTTAAGTTGTATTTCTGTTGACAGATATTTTGCAGTGTGTCAGCCTCTCACTTACAAAAGTAAAATAACTCATCGTGTTGTTGTGGCCATGATCCTGGCGAGCTGGGGAGTTGCTGCTCTAATAGGAATTGGCTTAATAGCCGCAGGTTTTAATCAAGGAAAATGTGAAGAAAGTTGTTTAATGGATGCTTTAATATCAACCACACTTGGGTGTATTTTCTCTTTTTATATCCCAGTTATTATAATGCTTTGTATCTATCTGAAGATTTTCCTTGTTGCACAAAGACAGGCAAACAAAATCCAGAACACAACGTGTCAGAACGTCAAATCCAGAGGAGCAGTCAGTAAGATGGAGAGAAAGGCTGCAAAAACTCTGGCTACTGTTATGGGGGTTTTTCTGCTCTGTTGGACTCCTTACTTTCTTTGTATGATTGTTCAGCCTCTAACATACAAAGTTACACCGATTGCTGTGGTTGAAACACTGAACTGGTTTACATTGTCAAATTCAACGCTCAACCCGTTTATTTATGCTTTCTTTTACAGCTGGTTCAGATCTGCTTTCAGAATGATCATTTCTGGAAAAATATGCCAGGGTGATTTTACTAATTCTAAACTCTATTGACATTTTCTTATGAAGACTCAAATACCATTGTAATTTGTGAATAATAATAAAACCTTGAAACAATAAAGATCTCCCCCCCCCATTAATAATGTATATATTGTTCACTGTCTGACCAAAACATACCGCATATACATGAGTATTTTTCTTTAAAAACAAGACAAAATAAAAACTTTTGTAACAATTGCAGATAACATATAGCAGATGCTCTAATTTAATACCATTGTAATTTGAGAATCATGATAATGCTTGAAACAATAAAGATTAACAGTTTACCAAGACACTGTTCACTATCTGAACTGGTACTCTCTATATAAACAAGTAACTAAAAATAAAATCACACTGTTCAACTTTAATTTCAGTACAAACACACATGCAGATAGCAGGTTTGGAAACTATAAGTATTATAATTTGTAAAGTATTGTTGCAAATATATTTTACAATAGGAGTTACTTTGTGTTCAATAGAAAAAATATAATAGATCACATTTATAATGTAAAAGGCAGTACGACTGCAAGGAGCATGTCTAATAACCAGCTCCAGAACTAACAGGTATGAAACATAGAGCCCATGGTTTTCAGTGGCACTGTAGCAACACAATGTCAAGTGAAGATGTTTACTTTTTAATGACATACATATGTATGTCTTTTTTTGGTTATGAAAGTGGATTACTAAGAGGTGGGCAGGAAATGAGGGAGACAGAGGAGGAGACCTGCAATAAAGGCCAGTGGACAGACTCAAACCACCGACATCCACACCCACTGGAAGAAGTGCGGTCCAGATTTTAGCAACACTGCCAACAGAGGGGTATAAATAGACAGGGCTTGAAGATAGGGCGGAGTGGGGTTGGAGAAAACACTAAAAGACAATTTTTTTATTTGATTTATCCACATTTGTGCAAAATGTTAGTTAATACAGCTTTGACTAGTGTGTTGCTGCAAATCATTCTATATTTATTCATTTTTATAGATTTTATTTTACTTAAGTGTGTGTCCAAAGCCAGTGTGTCTGTTAATTCACCTATTTGCTTGTATATGCTAATCATATGTTTAAACATTGGTGCTGTTTTTCAAGAGCCACTAGAAATAAGATGAAAATGACTTGTGTGTACAAACATACTTGATCACCATTAAAAGGGTTAATGGCAATCACAGCTATCTTAGAAACATTGTTATTTTGGAAGTATTTATTGATTATTGGGTTTTCAAATGTGCAGAGAATGTTTAGAACAACAGCTCACCTGAAAGCTGCCAGAGAGAGAGAGAGAGAGTTAGAAAAATTAAAATAAAAGCTACCTGTGATAAAATTGAGGCCTCTTTCTATTTTCATAATAGATTCAGGGACACATTCACATATTTATGCACAAAGGAAATTATGAGAGAGGCTGTGAGCTGACCGACAAGCGGGGCACAAAAACGTATCATTCTAATGCACAGATGGCTGAATTTACAGCAAAAGCAGAAAGCAGCTGATGAAGCATGACACTTTAATCACCCGCACATCAAAATATATGGCTATACTACCACTCTGAGAAAAAATTTACTCTGTCTTTTTATAACAAGCAAGATTTCTCATTATAACAAAAAATGTTCTGCTAATGTTCTGTGCATAGTGGTCACTGCAGTGGACAGCTATTCAAAACTCATTTTCTCCTAAATGCACTGGTTTCAATGATGGAACTGCATATCAGCCACTAGAGTGCTCTCTACTGCACCACTCCATTGAGGTTTATTCAGTGGTTAGTTGTTGTAACTGCAAGTGAATTTCCTTTGAATCCAAGATGACTGATAGTAAGCCACACTTGTTGACTACTGCTGGAATATCCTGAGACCTTCTATTCCAGACGAATCCTAGAGGTAAAAAAAAAAAAGATATACAGTAACATCTAAATAATAATATCATTATTTTATTTTTGAAAAATTTGTTTCCAATAAGTAGTAAATTACAAATTAGCCATGTGTCCAATGAAATGGACATGCATCATCAAGTATATTTCTGACTCAAGTCATATAATTGCTTCACCTTTTCTTGTGACTGTTTTGGTTGTAAATCAGTATATTTTTGCTGTATTTTATAGGGTATTCATTTAAAAATGGATAGTCTTGTGCAGATTAGTTCTACTTTTGCAGCATTCCAATCATTGCGGCCTTGAAATACTGTGGCATCTATGGCACGGGTACATGTAGAGCAAATAGGCTGAAGGGAGCAAATCAGAAACTCAAGAGCGAACAGCAACTGAAAGAAGAGGGCAGAGGGGCTTGCTCTGTTGTCAGTAATAATGCAAACATCACTGTCACATGTTGGCTTGACAGTTCAGTCATCCACATGGCCTCGTCCTGTGCTGGCCAGTCCCCTGAAGATGTGGCCAAGAGATGGGCCAAGAAGTTAAAAACGATGTTCAGGGTCCAAAGACCCTTTTCTGTGGCCCTTTACAATCAACACATGGGAGGGGTTGATCTCGTTGACCAATGTGTGGTAATGTATCCTCACAGACGTAGGAACAAGCAGTGGTACATTTTTTGGATGTGACAGTGTTTTAGTTATTCTCGTCTGGCTCTATAATTAAGTTCACCGCGTGATATCATTGGCAGCTTTACATGCCTATCCTGACAGTAAGATCTGGCCAACATGAACTCAGCCAGCGAGGAAGACTCACGTTTTGGCAAGGTACCAGTGTACAGGTATTTAAGGGACAGCTGTCATGCAACTCATCAGCTCAACACACCTGTTCGCCCGCACCTCCAATCTGCCAGATTTAGAAACCCACAGAGCTCCCACACCTCCATCAGGATAGGGATGGTTTTTCACACCCAAGTAGACCAACCTTACTCTGAGGAGACCCCCTTGACCCCGGCTAACGCATGAGCTATCATACAGGAACTAAAAGCCCAGATAGCCGATCCTCTCTCCCTCCCTCCTTTTCTTGGCCTGTGATCAACTTGACAAGGCGCTGCCAATAGTTTGTCTCGCTCATCCCCCTAGCACTTTACGCACACACACAGAGACACACAGTGGAAATGAGCATGCAATTCAAATTTGAACTCCTGTCCTTTTTTTTCTTTTTTGCAAAACTGCTGGAACAGTCTCTTGTTATGTGGAAGGGAAAAAATTATACTTAATACATGAAAAATGTACTAATACCAGAGCACAACAAAAATTCATGGGTCATGAATTGTGTTGATAGCAGCTAAGGAATAATGGATGTATGCGTGTATAATGATATGTAAAATGTGTTTTTCAAGATGAATCTTTGTCTATTGTTAATATGTCTCTGCACTGTCACCAAGATAAATTTCTTTACAGCTATTGTGCATGGAGATTAAATTCATTCTCATTCCAAACCTATTTTCCTCATCTCATCCAAGCTTTACCTTCCTTTTGCAGCTGTTCCCTCTGCACCACGTAGTGTGATCTCCATTGTGAACGAAACCTCTCTCGTGCTAGAATGGAGTGAGCCACGTGACTTGGGTGGTCGTGACGACATCTTCTACAATGTCATCTGTAAGAAGTGCCTGCCTGAGCGGGGAATGTGCTCACGGTGTGATGACAATGTTGACATCTCACCACGCCACCTGGGCCTAACCCAGCGCCGCGTGGCAGTCCGTAACCTACAAGCCCACACACAGTACAGCTTCGAGATCCAGGCGGTCAACGGTGTTTCCAACAAGAGTCCCTACACACCTCAGTTCTCTGCAGTGAACATCACCACAAATCAGGCTGGTAGGTACAGCTGCAGCCTTGTGGCTACCTGTCAAAGATCTATATTGAACCCATAAGCACTGCCAACTTTCAAAGGCTGGACAAAACACAAAAGAATGTCAGATAATGCAGTCTGCACCTAAAAAGTACGAATCGGTTTCTTGTATGTATGTAGGAGTATGTTGCATATTTTTTCCCTTTGAACAAGGATTGAGAAAGGAGGCATTCTTCTGAATGAGCTTAGAAAGGGACCTTTTTCACACGCCCACAGCAGGCTCTGTACTAACACCACTGCAAATAGCAAATAGCGAGGCAGTGTGTATTCAAAATGTTGAACCTTCAGTATTCTAGCTTCCCACTGCTTCTCCAGCCCACTGCTTCTCCAGCCCACAGAATAAGATTTATTCGTGAAGGCATTAAAGAAACACTCTGTTTTAATTTTCTGTGTATTACTTGTTGGTGAAGAAGACAATTACCTATGTAGAGATACTGCTTGCAGCCAATGATGCATGAAATGTTTTGTATAAGATGATGTTATGGGGTAGGACTGGATAAGTCTGACTTCTTCCTACTCCATTCAAACATGTACTAGGTATAAGCAAACTGATTCTGGATTAGCATTGGTTGGATTTGTGTAATTATGTGTGTGTTGTCATTTGTTCTGCATGTTTGAAAGAGTCTTGCTGTAAACCAGGGCTTGTTGTTGTTGTATGTGCAGAAGAACTTTTTGGGCACACATACATACATCACAGGCGTTTGGAATTAAGAATCGTTCATTTTAAGTTTTTTTTCTGTCAAGTGCTTATAGTACCCTGGACATAAAGCAAAGGTGGAAAGCCATCTACTAGTCACTACAATGTGAAGGGATTATTGTATTATAGTAAAAGAAAACTTAACTTTAATTATGTTTTTTGCAGATGTCTTTCTTTTTGCTGCATTAAAATGAATTAGTTTCTGGCAAGGCTAGTCCAGTCTGCTGTAACACAAATGTAGCCCAATTAATAGAACCTGCTATCACTTTCAAACTGGTAATGACTCAGTTATTCAACTGCTGATGGTCCTTTTGCTTTGGAAAAGTTTAAAAGTGCAATAGTAAAAATGACTTTGACCACTTTGAGTCTAGCTTGTCTGGCATCCTCAGTAAGATGTGAAGGCTGTTTGTAGTTGTTTCCAAAGGAAATGCTGGTTTATTTATCAACAAGTTAACTAATATAACAATAGCTAGCTGACCACAATACAGCTTATTAACCTCTGACTGTTTTGGCTCTTAATCCTGTCTCCTCTCTCTTTTGGTAGACTGGCTTTACTTATTTTGAATTAACATGATTGTGTAAGAATTTGCCTTAATCGAGTAAAATAGGAAAAAAAAGACAGGGTTTCATTTCTCCTGCTACCAGGCTGTGTACACTGAAGCCTTAAAAAGCTGATAAATGACAATTAGCATAGTGCTATAATGATTTCAGATATACCTCAAATGAGATTCACAGTCCAGGCATTGTTCATTTTAAGTGTGTGCAGCTCTGCCTTGGTATGTGTGTGACACGACTGATTTTTACAGCATATTGCTGCCATGAGAAAAAAAATTGCTCTGTACTTTGTTATAACGAGAAAGTCTGTTGTTTTAATGAGAAAGATTAATCATTTTAACAAAACACTTTTTTTTTTTGTTAAAACAAGGCCTCAGCTCAGCAGCCTGTGCCTCATCAACACCCTCCCATAAATTAATTCTAAGACCATCATTTCTTAGTAAGTATGTCTATGATTTGTGGTCCTGAGTCAAAAAAAAATTCTTTAGTGTTTCTATTCTTATTAGGACATGAAAAAAAACAAATATTCACTTTTTTCAAAAATGTGATTTTTTTCAGAGAGTTACACACATGTCCACTCCTGTGGACTATATGCACCTGAGCACTCAACATAAAACAGTATGAACTTAATGTAAAAATGAATTAAATTGTGCTTTATGGCAAATCCATGAACAATTATTTCTTTTTATGCTTTGAAAAACATTTTCACACATTTTAACATTTCATTGGCCAATTGTTTAGGCCTGAATAGGAAAACAAACAATGCTCACAACTGTGAAGCTTCTACCTAAAGCTAAGTCTAGGTTTCAAAATATCTCCAACAAGAAGAACATTATTCTGAGTCTCCATACTTCTTTATGGATGCAGGACTGGTATTACCATGTCATTATACTAGCATTAATAGGTTTTCAGCAACAAGAACAGACATATTTGTATCTCTGAACACTTCTGTAATATGCTCTGCATGTCAGTTCATCAAGCATAGGCTGTATGAAAGTTGACAAAGCATCCGGGACACAGTGGCACACAACATTGCATGCAGATGTATTTGGTTATTCGAGTGCATGCAACATCGTGGCATGTGTTTGCATTTTTCACCTCGGTGAGTTTGGACCAGTGATTCCCTGTGCCAAACCTGACCTCACGGGGTATTTTAGTGACTGCTCTGTGCTTCACTGGAGGTGGGGTTGCACTGGGTCTTCCTCTTCTGCTTTGCTGGAGGGAGCCAGCATTTATCAGTGCACAAGCTACAGGGGCTTGGAAGAGGAA